TAGATTTTGAGGATCTTTTGGTCTACCTCACTTTGTCAGGCAGGTCCTATTTAAGTGATTTCTTGATTGAGAACAGGTGTGGCAGTAATCAGACCTGGGTGTGGCTAGAGAAATTGAACTCAGCTTTCCAAAGATGTGATAAACCACAGTTAATTTATGTTTTAACAGGGGGGGCAATCACTTTTTCACACAGGGCCATGTAGGTTTGGATTTTTTTTTCCCCTTAATAATAAAAACCATTTAAAAACTGCATTTTGTGTTTACTTGTGTTATCTTTGTCTAATATTTAAATTAGTTTGATGATCTTAAACATTTAAGTGTGACAAACATGCAAAAAGATAAGAAATCAGGAAGGGGGCAAACACTTTTTCACACAACTGTAGGTCACACAGGGTTGAAAGTGAAAATAACTACACACGAGCTATTGGTCAGATTACATCTTTCTGGGGATCAATGGCGTTGAACTAAAATCAGTCCACTAGTTAAACTCTCTAGTGACCTGAATCTCTCTCCGCATGGATTCAGCTGCCTGTCCGGTTTACTCGAGTTGTTGACATAATCACCGTGCTGAGGCGGCAATTTGTGTGAACAACAAGATCTCCGTCTTCACCACATCACCAGCCACACACACACGCAAGCACAAGCAGTGACGGGGATCAGACAAGTACGTCGCTAATCTAGACGTAGTGCAGTATCTTTGCCGCGCCAGTAATTCTTTGGTAGAAAATACCTCAGCGGTGGGTTCGGCCATGACTCTGGATCAGCATGGAACCCTTCACCTCAGTCCTCAGCCATCCCAGGAGAGGGTGGTTTTAAAAATGTATGCTGCAGTTCAAATGAAAGGAGAATGGCTTTGCTGGGACATTGTATTGCAATAGACCTCAGAGATGCTTTTTTAAATGACAGAAGTGCTGCTCATATCTTAAAAATCTCATCCCAGAAATGATTTTCTTCAGGATTTTTTCAGAGCCTTTGTGGATCACGATCAAAAATACCGAAATCAGACCAAGAATATGCAATAGAAAATGAAATATCACCAAATAATCATGTGTTATCGTGGCCCACTCTGACTCATTTTGCATTTAAAAAAAACTGCATCCAAAATGCCGTACAGAGTGATGACCCGTTGCTTCCACGGCAAATGTTTAGCTCCCGCTCACGCTCCACCATCACTCTCCTCCTCTCTGTGCATCTTCACTCTACGACTCGAAGCAACAACATCACGACTGCAGCAAATCCCATCAGCAACACGGATGCTTTCTGTCACGGAGAGGTGTGAATATTTTGTTTTCCGTCTCTGTGTTTGTGCATAATTATGACTTGGCAGCGCGTCATTTATAATCTGAGAGGAGAATCATTTACCACTTGTTGTGGACTCCGCAGCCCAACAGCAGCTTTCTCTACTGGCGTGTTTGTTCTTTTCTTTCTCTCTCTAATCCATCTCCAGCGCTGCAATGAGCGCACATGGAACAAGATGAAAATAATTTTCTTCCTGAAACATCACAGATTGATCAGGCTATTTTGTGAAGTTCTTTAGCTAACTATACATTACTGTTGAGCATTCTGAGAATTCACGTTTATTGATTTACCTCTTTTATTATAGTCTCATTTTCCCGTATCAACGACTGCAATATTGTTAGGGCTGCTACGCATGAATTAATGCAGACAACATTCCACATGCACCTCTGTTGAGAGAATATGTCTCGCTGTCTTTTGATAATGTTAATGTTTTTCAAAGATCTCCCAGATACATTTCACAATAAATGTTGATCTACAGATAGTCTAGGCATTTCCATTTACCTTTACTGTACATCAGCACTCAATCTGTATCAGCTTCAGAGGTCCACAGGTATGGACCTGAACATAACACCGACATTTTATCTTCCTGGCCAGCTTTCAGGACACAGTTCAAATACATTTCTCATTTCAGCTTCAACCTCATGAAGATGCTTGTGTTGGTTGTACATATTTACTTATTCTAGTTTTGTTTCTTTTGCAAATGCTTGCTTGTGTTTTGTGTTTGTGTATAATCGCTGTGCTTTGTGTTTTTTGTTTATATTTTGCTTCTTTTGTTTCATCTTTGAAGAATAATACAAAAATGATCCTATTGTTTGTATTTTGTACCTTCATTTTGTGTGTAAATAAACTAAACTCGATCCCAATCTGTCAACCCAGATCCAGAAAGTGTAGCCCTGGGTTGGTCACCGAATGAAGGTCGTAGCTGAGACATGATTTAGAATGCTTTGGAATAGAATATGTCAGAATATCACAATATGAACAGTGGCTGAATTAAGTAAATTAGAAAAGATATGAGCAGACTGGATCTATTGATCTATCTATAATTGTTATAGCTGGAGAACAAAACAAGACAATAACATTTTTGGTGCATTTACAAAAGATGGGGATTATCAGCATTTATTTTAAAATACATTTTACCATAAAGGATACACTACCATAGTGCTGTGGAATATTACAACACGAGGCGCTGACTAACACAATGCTAGGGCAACTGCTGTTACAAAATGTTACAATTAAAATACGCTAACTGAAAGAATATTGTGAAAGGTTTAAAGTTCTAAGACGAAAACATGGACTCCCAGACTGGACAACACCGTGGTAGTTGCCCTGTCAATCACCGTGTAGCCCCGCCCTAAAGCATCCCCTGCTTTATGGTCTGTTTGACTCTAAATGGACCATAATGTACTAAATGAACATCATGCTGTATTGAAGAAGACTTGAAACTAGAGATTGAGACCATAAACTCATGTTTACTGAGGGAATACATCAACCAGAGGCTGGCCATTTGTAAGAATGCAAGTTTAAGGCACTTCCACATTGGCTTCATGTTCAGACTCGGAGGTTGTCGCCTGATTCTGCAACGTTATTTTTTATTTAAAACAGCGATCTCTTCACTTGGCGTTCTTCTTTTCATCCAATAGATCCAACAACTCTTTTACTTTTTCATGCAGCTTATATTTGCAAACACATTTGAATAAATTCAAAGAAATTGTGCTCATTTCCTCTAAGTTTCCAGGAGACCAGCTGATTCCCAAGCCACATCTCTGACACAGCCTTGACTGCTCCCATTGAAACTGCAGCAATGCAGGACAAACACACACACACACACACACACACACACACACACACACACGGCGGCTTTCATTTTCAAACAGCCTTCCATGATAAGAAATGCGGGTAACAATGAGATGTCTGCATCAATAGCCCCACTTCAGCCCAACATCCAAGAGTCACGTGGGATCAAACCCACATCAAAGCCTGGCCGGCACCACTATGAAAGCCCAGTAACAATGGGACAATAATTAAAGCCACATGGATATGGAACCATCCCCCTGTCACACACACATCTCTCTTCCTCGTTGTCATAGAAATAGAAAAAAAAGCACCGTTTGATGTCTGCCGTGACAATACACCAACCCATCCACATCGTGAGGTGCAGATACCTGCCACACAATATGTAAGCAAGTCATTTCCGTCCATTGTGAATGCTGTAAACACATTTAGACGCTCTCATCCACTAAGCAGGAGATCATTATTCGGGGCAGAGGGAGCTGTCATAGCCAGCAGTAATGCAAGAGCAATACATAACAAAATGCCAAAGCACTTCCAATGTACTGTTTAATGAGGCAATATACAAGAATATGCTTTGGCTGTATTGATTCAGACACTTTCTTTGTATCCATTCATGAATAGTCAGGCTCATTTACTCCATTTATCATGTAATTAATGTCCAGAACGAGCTCATTTTTTATCTCAGTAGTCCTTGATTAATGTTATTTTTTTCCTTAATGGGACTGTTCCCTGCTCAGTGTGGAGAAGGATTATTTTAACTGTTAGAGGGAAAGAAGCCAGAATCAAATATGGGGGAAAATAAATCCCAAAAAACACATTATAGGGAGGAAAGCCACGATATTAATGTCTAATCCAGTGCTTCCCAAACACGTGAGGCAGTTTGTGATCACCTAAAGGGAGCAGCTCAAGACGAGACACTACAGGCTGAAACCTGTTTTTCAAGCACACGTCAATTTAGATTTTGGTCTGTTTTGCTTCCATAACACGTCTTCTTTCAGACTAGTGAAAAGAAAACACCCAACATACAGCTATCATTAGATAATACCTAATTTGCATATTTAAACATAGCATTTCAGAAAACTTGTTATCGGAAAAGGAGAAACAATCGTCTCAAATGAGTAATAACCTGGGGAAGTTTTCATGGTGCGATCTATTTGGGTTTTTTTTCATTTCACCTGTAGTGTCTTCAAAATATGTCATTTTCCAAAACATGTCTTTAACGGCCGATTTCTCTAAATCTCTAAACCAGAAATCTCCACTTCAAACTCCAAACTGTCCACTTTTATTCCTCTCTATATTCTGAAGGTTTTTACAAAAGGGTTTGTTCATGTATCTTTCAGAGCCTGATTTAAACAACATTATATTACTAAAAACATGTTTTTATGGCTGACAGTATTTTGTAATTGATGGGGTGATAAAAAGAGATATTCTAAAATTCCCTTGGTAAAAACTGTTCACTCTAATCTGTCAACAAAATGAAACAAGAAATGAGTTTTGCCAATGCTGACAATTCTGTTCAATAGATGTAGTCAAATTATCACATGTTTAATACGACAATGCATAATTTGCATATTTAAACATGAAATTTCAGAAAACGTGTAATACAAATCATAACTGTCTTCCCCTTAAGACATTTAAAGGTGATTACATTGTGCCTTGTCAGAAAGCAAGTCAGTCAAAAGTTCTACCATGAGCGCCCGACATTGTCTTAAGCGCTGCTGCACACGCAAGACTATGATGACATAAGGCGCGTAATAGCGCAGATACTTGTTGGATGCCCTTATTCCCTTTGGGTGTGCTTTAAAAAGAACTCGCACAGCTCATGATGGAAAAGGAAGGGGAAGACGGAGAGAGAGAGAGAGAGAGAGAGAGAGAGAGAGAGAGAGAGAGAGAGAAAAGGTCTCTTGTACCTCTTCAGCATCGACCTCCTCCTCGCTGTCAGTGGGTTCCGGCGCTTTCACGAACCACCACTGGATCTCCAAATACACGGACGTGGTTCCGCTCTGGAAAGCGCACGCCATTTCTATGTTTTGCCCCTCTTTAACCGTCATGTTGGAGGGCAGATCTGTGAAGCGACCTGCAGATGAGAGACGAAAAAAGGGGTGGGGGGTTATGATGGGGACAATTGTGTGTGACTTGTGCCCATGAATTAATCACTTAAATGGTCTGCTATTGAATGTAGACATACATGTGGCGGGTTAACTGTGTGTTGCTGAAGCCAAGCCTTGATAAAGGTGCGTTCTTGCCGAAGCGTGCCAAAGCTTCTTCATTTGGTAATTTACATAACGCACAGTCGCACCATGGATACATTATTCACACATTTAATTCCGAGCAGGATGAGAATTTATAGTTTTTTTTTAAAGTCATTCTGTGGCCGTTGTCGCGCTCTCTGTGCCCGCGATTAAATACGAAAAATAAATTGACTGTTCGAGAATTGGGGGTCAACAAAAGAAAGCATAAAAGGGGGAAACGTAAGAAAAAATAAAGGAGTTTGGTTTGGAGGATGCTAATAAGGGGGAATGTGGCCCGAAGGAGAGTCGTGGCGACGATAGAAAAAAGGAGCGAGGATATTCGCGCATGCAAACTTCCATTCCAAACCATCACTCCAGGTCAAGATTATCTACAGGTTTGTGCGCATTTATCAGACATGTTTGGGATTTCAGCTGTTAGGGGGGAAGAAGTGCACAGAGGCGTTTTGAAAGTGGTAATCTCAGTGTGATGAAGGCTTTGAACACCGGAGACCGCCGCATGCAGCAGCTGTCCACGGTGCTGAAATCACCGGCTGGTCGCTCACTTTTCATGCACGGAGCCTCTTCAAATAAGTTCGATTTCTTTAATCTATTGTCCGAGATGAAAACCAAATAATGCGAGAGAAAAAACAGCCGCCCGCTCTCCTCCTCCGGTGTGAAACGACTTGATTTCAAACAATCACCAGTTGCATTTTTTTCGTCATCACGGGGTAAAAAAAACCCGCAACCTTCCTCAGCTTTCATTATGAGCTTTGTTTCGCCCCCTTTCTGGGTTTATTACAACCCATCTCATTTCAAACATCTTCCTCCAAATAGAATCCTCTGCTTTTCTAGAAACACTGCGCACTTTGAACACTTTCTACCTCCCGTGCCTCGACATGATGCCACTGTTTTGTTAGGAAAAATATGCATCGTCTTACCTTCGAAGGAGAATCCCAATTGCACACAGAATCCGGCAAAGAAAACAAATCCAACAGAATCGTGAGAGGTCCACATCATTCCAATTTAGAGAGGTTGCTTTTTTTACATCAGCCGAAAGGAGGAAAAAGGCGAATGTTTCCCCAGAAATACAAAATGCCAACACACCAGCAAAATCAAACAGTTGCTGGGCGAGTGGGTTTAAACGGAGATTGCCGAAGGTGGAACATGCTGCAAAACTACAGCTTGTCGTTGATGAAGTTCTTTTTTTCAGCCCCTCTCTCTCTCTCTCTCTCTCCCTCTCTCTGCAGGAGAGACTGTCGACTGCTCGGCTGTGCTTAAGTCTGTACAAAATAACCGGGCTGCGGTGTTCGTCTGCGCTACCGGAGAGACGTCAGTCTAGTGGATCACTGTGGCATCCTCACGCTCCACGCACCTCTGCGAATCTAGTCCTCATCCGGTTCCTCGCTGTCACCTTGACCGCTTGATTAAAAAAATAAATGCGCCGCGCATTGCAGCGTGAACAACTAAATGATTGCGTTCATGAGGGGATCTTTATTTATAAAATGATCTGAATAAAAAAAAAACAAGATATGGAGTTTGTTTCCTGTGCTGTACTTTCTAAATGACTGATGCGTTAAAGCCCCCCCTCAAAAACTCCACAAAACGGATACGAGCGGAATTGTCCCCTCTCAAAGCCTTAACATTCTAGATGATAAAAAGTGTGCGTATTTAGTGTGGATGTGTCCTCTTGAGTGCTTTTGCAGTCTAACCCGTTTTAGAGGCTATAAAACAATATTGTAGCATTAGATGGGAGCAAACAGGGAGGGGTGGAGCAGCGGCCCACCAGTATGGCATGTCCTGAGTCATTAAAATAGAAGAGATGCTGCTGGATTATTATATATGCACGAGTCTTCTGTGCAGACTGAGAACACGGTGCCCTTTGTTGCGTTGGCACAACTTGTGCCACTGCTAATATCTACTCTTAAGAGGAGACTCTTCAGGTGAATAGGGTAAGAATTACACACTATTTAATTACACTGAGGCACATTTTATTTTCTGGAATGCTATGTTAAAATATGCAAGTGATGCAAATCGGATTAAATATGGGCTAATTTGCATACATTTCCAGAACAGAATGTGAACATTGGATGGATACAGTTCAATACTCTTGTTTCATTTTCTTCTCATATCACAGTCAAAGGTGTTTACAGAGGGAACTTTGGACATCTTTTTGTATCACTCCATAAATGAGAAAACACTGTCAACCATAAAAAACATTTTCACCATGTTTTTAGTCATAAGGTATTGTACAAATGAGACCATGAATTATATATACGCACAAACCCTTCTTTAAAAACCCAAACGATATGTATTGTAAAATGATATACATTTTAAAGATAGATATCACCATGAAACTTCCTTTTTTGTGTTACAGGATTTCTGAAATGTGATGTCTTGTGTAAATGAGGCATTATGTAATTGTAACTTTTGGTGAATTATGGAGAAATCTACCGACGCACAGACACAAAGTAGAAAAATAAACACCTACATTTGTATTTTGGATGTTTTCTTTCCTCTAGTCTGGAAGAAGAAACTGTTTGCCTGACTCCTGGTAAGACTTAAAGAGATGAAGCAATTTCATTGGCCGAAATGAAACACAAGCCTTCAACCTGATGTAGTGTTTTTTTTGTAAATATGCAAGAATGTACTAATGATGCACTAATGGTGTGAACCGAGCCAGGATTTCAAAGTGCTATCGACAATTTCAAACTGGAAAACATGACTAGACTTCATTTACAGCAGGGGTCTCAAACTCCTGGCCCGCCACGTCATTTTATGTGGCCCGCGAATCCGCCAGCATACAAAAAAAAAAAAAAAAAAAAAATTAAAAGTTAGACTTGACAATAAAAATATCCCCATAGTCGAAATTATGAGACAGAAAGTCGAAGTTATGAGATAGAAAGTCATAATTCTGAGATAGAAAGTCAAAATGATGAGATACTTAACACAGTCATAGAAGCAGCTCTTTGGCTGGTTATCCTACATGTGACATGGAAATGTATTGTGAGTACATTGAAGACTACTTTAAACGTGGCTTTACAACACATGAAATACTTCGCGTGGGATTGTGCAAACGCACCCTTGAAAGGATTTTAAGCATTGAACAAAGTTATTGTAATAACTTGTGTTTGATATTTGTCTTTGCTATTGTCTTTAATAGTTTGATAGAGTAATGTGGGTTTCTTAACCCTAAATTAAAAGGATTTAAGTTATAACAGAAATGTGCTTAAATATATTTTTACATTTATATAACTGCATGTGCAATATTTTTACACTTGAATAAATGCTAATCAAATGCAGAGACAGTTATTTACCAATATGTTAGGAGTAGTTACATTTACACAGTCTTACAGTTACAACCGGCCCTTTGAGGGCGACTGTGATGCTGATGTGGCCCAGAGTGAAAATGAGTTTGAGACCCCTGATTTACAGTATATATTGTTTGTATTTTTTATAATACTTTCTTTTCTTTTCTGAGTTGTTGCCAGAGTTGCACCACCAGTCCAACATGTTATAAAAAGGTCTGTGGTTAGGCTTAAAAGATTTGAAGGTTTTGTACTATGAAAATATGTCAGTAAGTGGTGAGACTATGGGCCGCCTTCAGTTTTGTGGTGGTGACTGAAGTCATGTGACCGTAGTGTAGTTCGTTAATAGCACCACGTCAGCTTTTTACTGTGTTAACGCTTCAAAACGCATAAAAGTGATGTTCATTAGTGAAGATTGTCTTCTGAACAAAACATGTAAGTATTATCAACATTGTTGTTTGCCACAGAGCGTATTGTCTGCTTTTGTTTTAAGTCCAACGATCCCATTGGCTCTTTAGCAAGGGAACCAGTGCGACGCTAACTCCTGGGCTTTCTATAAAAATATGTCATCCCTGCACCACTCTTATTGGAACCTCTGCTATCATAAGGAATCCTATTTAAGTTTTCTTAGGGAGGACATTTACAGCCTTTATTTTGAAAGGAGACTTTAGAGAAGTGAAAGGAAATAAGGATAAAGTGATAAGGCGTGCAAGAAAGATTCCCTTATGGACTCAAACCAGGATGTTCAGATCACATGATCAGCATATTAAAGATTAAAGATAAAGATTCTATCTTATTTAATACTCACGTCTCCGTCTGTACATTTAAAGCCTTATTGTTTGATGGAATTGTTCCTCTTTTCTAAACTGGCTGCAACAATATCTCTTTCTAAAGTGATTTTAATGTAAATGATGGGGGACAAAATCCACAATCCTGTAAGCATATTAATGTCATATTAGTTAATTAATTATGAATTCAATAAAAATGTTATCAATGAATTAAGCCAAATATTAAACTGCAACATCTGAATTTTCATCTAAAAAAATTTAATTAAAAAAAAGGTATAAATCAGAACGGTCACGTGTGCTGGGCGAAATGTGCGATCGCATGTGTCCTAAAACACACACTTACACACACACACACACACACACACACACACACTGGCCCCAGAGTGTGTAAGTGTGTTACTACACAGCTAAGCATTAGTCACATGTGAGAAAATATTGCTGTTTGTTGTTTTTCAATAGATGCAAGGCAAAGGCTATATTTGGTCAGTTTAAAGGGTTTTTGGCATAAACTCTACAGAAAATCCTAAAACAATTAAAACCACCTCATAATATTTACACGCCATACACTGTCCCCTTTAAATCTCTGTCCAGTCGTGATCTGTGTATACATGAAGCCAGTGCTGTGGTCAGATTCTGCTTCTTGTCATGTCAAAGTCATCTGAGCAGACATTAGACAGCCAGTGGTTCCTGGTGCATGTCACAGTGCAGAGAGTCACCTTGGAATCCGGTGACTCCTTCAACATGTAGGCAGGAAATGCACAGTGATAGGATTTTCAAGATAATTTGGATTTGGATTGTACAACGATGTAATTTGGTTGTATGACTGCATATGATTGGTTACCATGCAGAACAAGCTACTTGTGAACCTGACTTCAATTACAAACCTAAACATAATGAAATGTAAATGTTTCCATTGTGGTGTGGACCAATGAGAACCAGGGGATCACACTCCAGAAGAGAACACATGTAAAACCCATAAAGACAGGAGTGTGAATACACAAGAAACGGATCAGACAGCAGGACATGAGGGCGGGCTCAAATGCATATTTATTTTATACACGGTTGTTGTTAATAAAAACTATTTATAGTAGTTTTCTAATTGAACAGAAAACTGATTATGAAGTTTTTCTAAGTGTGTAATGAAATATCCAGTTTGAGTTAGAATGCTTCCATCAATGTGTTTTCTTCGTTTCAGCATATCTATAATCCATATCTATAATCCATCTAAACATCCAAATGTCGTCACTTCTGCACAAAGCAGCAGGCAGGAAAAGGAGTGGGGCCCGAACGCAGACACACAGGAAGCAACGGTGATTTTAATTAAGAAAACGTCCAAACAAAACTTACACAGGAGGTGAAGTCTGGTGAGTTCAAAAGCAATCAGAAGATACACGAATGAAACAATGAAACAAAAAGCCCAGTAAACAGCTGGAATCCAAAAGTGAGCCACTGAAAAAAAGATCAATGTGACAAGTAACACGGATCGGGTTCTCACACGAGCGATACAGCCAGGAAACATATCAGACAATCAGTCCACCAACAGACCAAAGACTGTAAATACACAGGACAATAATCAACAAGATGCAGCTGGGAGGAGACGAGGGCAGGCTGAAAGCTGATTGGTGGTTGAAACAATGGGAACAGAGCGAGGCTCAAGAAACTAATTAAACACAGGTGATACACAGAAAATAGGAGGGAAAAAACAAATGACAGGAAGTCCAACAAATACAGGACATGTCAGGCTTGGATTACAAAATAAAACAGGAAGTGAAAAGTCCCGAAAAAAACATGACAGTATAAAATGAAAGGAAACCAATGTCACAGTAATCATCAGTAAATGGAGTGTGAACAGCATGCTGGTTTGTCTGATAAAACTAAATTCTGAATAAATTTCAATCAAAAATTAATTAGAATTGTGCATGTATCTGTAGCTGTAAATCTCCTCTCTGGGAATCATCAACTATCATTCCAAACAAAAATATTTCATGATCTGGAAAAGATGTAAGAACTCTGACAGATTTGGGAGCCCCGCTGTGAAACCAAAAGAGAGCCTCTACTAGACCGTCACATGTTAATCTGATTTGTATCCCGGTGCTGTGATAAAGCGTGTCGTACTTGTTTGATTAAAGCGTTGACTCAGTGTTGGGTTATGAGCAAACAAACCATTACACCACAGTAGAGCCACTGTGTGTCAGATTAGGGCTCAAACACAGGCTTTAATTTCTGTTTCCCTGCTTCAATCCTTCTGTTTCTTCACTGTTTGTTATCGAACTGAAGAAGAAAAACAAATGCATGTGTTGATTGTTCAAATGCAT